TGGCGGGCGTTTACTGGCCTTCTTTGCGCCCAGCTTCTCCTTCTTCTTCTTCCCCCTGTCATCCCATTTCGATCCTTTCCCTAAAACCTTTTCCAAGGAAAAAATGGGAATAGCTACAACAGCATCTAGAACCGCCCTCTTCAGTTGCTCCTCCAAACTTTTCTTCTTAAAATCCCCTTATTCTTCCTCATCTCTCTCCCTTCGCTCCTTCTCCTCTGCCACCCCATACCCCCTCTACTACGAGCTCATCAACCACCGGCCCGTTGGCAAGAACCCTACTCCTCGCCACCGCCGCCAATGCCTACCCGAACCTGTACCCGAACCGGAACCCAAACTCCCCATGGACCGGTCCAAGCGCAAGTACTACCGCAAGCGTGCCCGCTTCATGTTCGGTGGAGACTCTGACTCCGATTCCGGCAGCGGATCCCACAACAATGGTGAGTTTGTTGAGCTGAAGCCGGAGGTTGTGGACTTCCCCAGGCTTCACGCTCGTGAGCAGGAACTGTACTTCCATGACGCCTTCGCCTTTCCCTGGGAGAAGGACAAGCATTATCGAATGGTTTATCAGCTCGAAAAGAAGTATTTCCCCGATCAATCCCTTGATAAAGCTTTCACCCATCCCGATTTTCAGCAAGTTGAGACCAAGAAGACAACGAAGAAGAACAAGGAGAATGAAAGGGATGAGAGGTCTTTGGTTTTCTTTGATGATTTGGAGAAGGAGAAGGAGGAGGAGGCGGGAGATAAGGAAAGGGGTGTTTCAGAGAGGAAAGTGCAAGAGTTCTTCAGGTGCTTGAACAAATTCCCCAGTGAGGAAAAAGGAGCAAAAGGGCGGAGAAGAGATTTTCTGGTTGCAGAGGTGGATTCAGAGCCTTTCCTTATTTCAAAGAGAACCGAGTTCCCACCAAGATGGGATGGGCTGTATGGAACGGTGGTGCTTGTGGACAAACCTAAAGGTAAGTTGCAACTGCTATTTAATATCGTAATGCTATAGTTTTGTCAAAGTAATTGATTATTTGGTTAGAGAAGTATATGTTGGTATTTTAGTGCATGAATGAAGTAGAGATAAATTGTTAGGATCAATATAGCTTTTTGTGAGAGTGGTGTGCTATCGCAGTAGCCCAGACTAGAATTGCTTCTTGAGTCCTTTCTGATGTTTACCGTGGCAACTTTGTTAATCATGAATGTTTGACAAGGCAAAAATAATAAAGTCCAAAACTTAAAGTCTGCTCAGTCAAGAACAAGTGGGAGAAAGGGCTGTGCTCTTTTCCAGAGAGAATTCATCAGCACCCGTTTCTGTCGGAGGTGTGCCTAATATGGATGGGTCTTATACGTGAGAAGGGTATGAGGAAAGACTGTTTTCTTGTGATGTGCACACAACAAGAGCTCTACTTCTACAATGCATGACCTTATCCTGCAAGAAGGAAAAGCACCATATGGTGGTCTATTAGCGCAAGAGTACTTCCTCATGAATCTACGGACAAGACATCTTCCGATAAAGTAAAAACAATGAGAAGGGCAAGGAAAATGAGAGGATGAAATTTCTTTTCGTTGTTTGATAACTGGGAGAAGAAGGGTAGTCATTGGTGCAATGGGTTAAGGGATACTTCAGAGAGAAGCTCTAGGACTTCTTTAGAGAAGGAGTTTCACGGTTGTTGTGGAGGGGGTATATGGCGTTTTTCTGGGGGCACAATGCTTATTCCATCTAGGATCGGTCATCCCGTAGATGTCGTGCTTGTGGATCAGCCTAAATGTTAGTTATAATTGCTGATATTTTTGAAAACATGTTTGTATCCAATGCTTGTGAATGCATGGATGCTTGAAATTTGATTGTTAATGGTACATGTAGAAAGATAATGGAAAACTTTGCTTATTAGTATTGGTTAAAGTAATTCAACCATTGGGACATTTGGCAAATCAGAATCTAGAATATAATAGGCATTTTGCTAGGATGTAGGTGAAAGGAATGTATGGGCTTTCTTAGTACGTTTATTAAGCGTATTGACAATGTTTTAAAAAGCTTCCACCTAGTCTGCTTAGGCCTGGGCAGTATTTAGGCCGCCCGTCTAGATCTTGGGAGTGCCTAGGGGAGCGAAGACCGATGTTGCTAATTGCATTGCTTAGGTCTTGGTCGTAATTGCCTCCGTTGCTGCCTCTACATCTTCTATCCTCCTTCGAACTCCTTCGGCCGCCCCCATTGACTATAAACACGTTCTCCAACTCCTCTGACCTTTAGGGAAACCTCTTTTGTCACCATTAGACAAAAAAAGGAAAGAAATTCTCCTAAGCCTAGCGCTCTTGTGCTAGGAGACAATTTGGCACCAAGCAGTGCCTATCACTTTCAATAACATTGATTGTAATTAAAATATAAAAAAGATAGGAAAACACATAGGTTCTAGGCGTTAGGTCTAACATCTTGGCCACATAACACTTTCTGTAACCTTGCGTATTGGCAATTATTAGATAAATAGTTTTTCCATAAATGATGAGATATTGTCATATGCCAATGAAATAAAGTGTGCATGAACTCTCATCATTTGTCAATAGTATAGAGCTTATTAGATGTCTAAATACTTTGGTGGTGTACCTTGTTAGTAGCAACTCATAATCATTCTTAATTTTAATATTTAAGAAAATAGGAGTTGCTTATAATGAAATACAAACATTTTAATCTTTTGGCTTAATTTCACTTTGGTAGCCTAAACTTTCATATTTTGAACTTTGATACCCTGGAGTTTATTTTTGCTTATTTGATACCCCAAAGTTCACTCATTTCAAACTTTGATACTCAAAAGTTAATCTGGAGTCACTAGTGGTGGAACTACAAGTGGTGGTGCAACTGGTGGAGTTTGGTTCGCCACTTGCTCCTCAAGTGCTGTAAAATCTTATTGCAAACGACGTCATGAGGTCGATTAGATATTGTGGAGCCTGCTGCGGCTCAGACTCTGCTTGCCTAGCTCTCCGGGTATGGTTCTATCTTGACCATATCCTCGTCCCGGCATTTATGATATCATGAGGAGAGCTTATTAGACACAGTAAGTGAGATCGCAAACACACACACGCACACACACACACATATATATATATAACGCAGCAATAAGAAAATCGTATCATATATCATCCATGCAAATACTTTATATTCAAAGTAAAATAGTTGTCATAAAAAAATTCCAAAATTTTTGAGATATACGTAATACGTCCTTACTCATTCTAGGAATTCCTAACGAATTCTATACATGAATCCTAAGAAACTCTATTCTAGGTCCACGACTCGACACAAGATGATCCTAAAGATACTGGAATTAGAGCTCTGATACCAACTGTGACGTCCCTGTTTTCACACATGACTGCAGTCTAAGTGAACCCAGAGATTCAAACCTGCCATGCACCCACACTGTGCAACAATACGTTTCACCATCACAGTAATATTTCTCTAGTGAAATCAACAAGTGTAGACACAAAACATGTAAAATAAGGAAAATAAATGCATTAGACATGATATAGAAAGAGATATCTAATAAATATAATCATGTCTCAACTGAATAAACTGAATACAACTGAAGTCTGAAATAAATATGAAGTATCTCAATATGAGTCAACTGAAAATAAACTAAGGCACACAGCCTTTACAAGATAAAATACAAAACTCTAAATGTCTGAAAAAAATATCAACTATGATAGAGTTTCATCTATTAAAAATATGTGATGACGACTATGCTGGAAGTCCGTCATTTTGCGGCTCTGGAACTTTGAGCTGCTACCTGAAAAGAATTGGAAAATAAAAAGAGAAACAACAAGAGCGTCAGAGCGCTACAACAAGATCATTTCCATCCGCCCCTAAGGGAAGGACTACTAGATGTGATTGAGGCTCTATCTATTAAGTATAGTCTACCTAGATCATTTATCCTGTATCTAAATGGAATTAATATTTAAAAATCTACAACACGAGACGTAGTACGTCGAGCAAAATAATCCAAACAATGAAACCCTCATGTATATACCATATGTCTCAAATTATAGATAACTAAATATCAATACCGAACTGAAAATAAACAATCTGAATAGAATTAATAATTAGAAACTCACAACACGAAACTGGTATGTGGAGCGAAATAATCCAAACAAGAAAATCCTCATGTATATACCATATGTCTCAAATTGTGAATCGCTAATTATCAATTCTAAACTAGGAATAAAGGAAAGCAATACAAAGAAGTAAAGTCATCACAATATCGGACCAAAAATATCTTTCACTATCTATTGGAAGATAATATAAACAACACTATATAACTCCGCGTACCCACAAGAGTAAAGTACCTCGGTCATATATAACTCAGCAATGAGTCATGTTCATAAATAGCGTCCGCCAAGACTCAGGCTATCAAATAATTATCATAATACAAATCCTTGTAAAGTTTATAATTTATCATATTATCATGCGGGACGGACTACCAAATCGACATCCTAAAAGTGTACACGGTTCATTAGTCTCATCGCATCAACGTGCGGGACGGACTACCAAATAGGGCATCCTAGGTATACGGCTCACAAGCCTCATCGCATCACGTGCGGGACGGACTACTAGATCAAGCATCCTAAAACCCGACTCAATGGCATGTACTAATGGTATATCGACGCACTATCCCAAATAGTACTGAGTGATGCTCATCAACGATATCCATACAAGTATATAATGTTTAAATAACTCATATCTCTTGTGTAATCAAAACAATAACTGTATTAATCCTCTTCGGGATATCCATGTGTGTGCTACGACACTATACGTGTATACTCATGATTGTACGTGTATCATCTTGCGCCTCGAACCCCGTGTTCGAAAACAAAAGGTGTAAAAAATAACACTTCAAACAAAAGAGAACACATGTTGGTCGACCGCCCCTAGGGCGTCGGTCGACCGAACGCAAACGTGCACAAAGTGCACTCATAGGATCTCACCGGTCGACCGACTAGCCTTAGTCGGTCGATCGGCTAGAGAAGATCTTCACAGATCAGGTTTTGACATTTGTATTTTTGTAGCTTTATTCAAAATCTTAATTTTATTAACATGAGGCATATAACAAGATTTAAACTTTCATATTTGCTTAACAGGGATTAACTCAACATGATTTAAACTCTTGAATTAATCTAGTTAGGGTTTAGCATCTCAATTAACCAAAATTTCTCAAATAAAACATAAATTATCAACATGATTAATTAAGCATGATTGGAACTAATCATTGAACAGATATAAAATAATTTAAACACGTTCACATCACTTAGGTATCACAAATCTAGGGTTTATACATCTTAAATTAACGAGAAAACCCAATTAATTGTTAAACTAAGGTTTAAACATGATTTAAGCATGATTAACAAGTTAAAAACGAAATTAAATACAACCCTAATGATCATGATCATCAAACTGATATAAACAACTAAAACTACAGATTTTCACATTGGTTAACATCATAAACTAAGATTTTAAAACATCGGGTTAAGCTTAAACATGAGATTCATCAATTAAACATATTAAATCTTGAATTAACTACAGGGAAATGTTTGGAGGAAGATGATCTTGCCTCAAACATCGTGTTGAACTCCTGAACACGTGTGTGCAAGATCTCTCTTCACCAAAGTCGCAAAATCCCGCATTCCTCTCCACAAATGCCTCAAGAACTCTTCAAAATCTCACAAATTATGATTAGGGTTTGAGAGAGAGGAAGAGGGGCTGCTAGGCTTTGGAATACTAATGAAAAGATGTGTTTTTCGTATGTAAACATGTATATATATAACTGCAAACCCGAATCAAAACAGCCCAAATTTGAAACAGGAAACCTAGTCAGACTGAAAAAAAAGTCTTCGGTATTTTGGCTGTAACCTTCACGTCCGACCTCAGAATGAGGTAATTTAAGATGCGTTGGAAAGCTATTGAAGATACTTATAACTTTTGTCTTTTTAGTTTTTCCAGATTCGAACTGTATCGGTGTGTAATGCAGATATACTCTTAACTGGTCATTTTTTCAGATTTCTTCTTTGTGCATGTTTTACGTTTGTATACTCTCATATTTACTCTTAATTGATCTCAAATCAATTGTTAGCATAATCATTCATCCATAAATAATATTCATCATAATTAAAGTTTATTTATCAATAGAATTCACACTATTTTCCAAAATTCACGGGTTTTACACATTGACTGAAAATCCTAGCAGAATTTTTGATGGTTTGGGAAAAGAGATCAGATTGAGATATAAGGGGTATTGATAGGCTATAGGCTGATTTGCAAATATCATTATTTTTTTTCATACCCCTCGGGCATGTGCGAAGTTATTAATAAGCCTCTATTTTGCATGTTTGAACCATCAAACTTCATATTTAATTCCATTTTATCGATACTTTCACATATATCGCTCCAAGAGTCTCATTAGCTGATAAATAAAGTTAATCACATTTAATAATTATGCGAAAAATTACGGTCGTTACACGCATGATCAACTTAATTTTAATCTTGCTATCAGTTTGTGTATACGCTTATTTTCTCTGTGGTAATATTCTGGTACATATCAACTTATGTTTACTTCATAGCTATTCATAACGTGATTGTATCCCTCCTTATTGTTTTGTTTGTATCCCTTACTGTTCTAAATAATGGAGCATTTTATTGATATGTGCTTATTGCTACTTTAATGTTTTTGTTTTATCTAGCTTAATAAGCATTCAAGACTTCTAGTAGTGACCCATCAAAAAGATATATAGTGTGGCATTGTGGCAAAATTCACAGCCATACTATTATTTCTAGTCTGCTTACTGAAGTTTTTTGCTCCTGGAGAATTTTGAATCATAAGCTAGTAAATAAATAACTATATTTTTTTATTTCACTGGACCATCTTCAGATTTTAAATTCAACCACTGCAATTAATTGCCTAAACTTTTTGACTTTTGTCATGTCTATTGTCTATCATTAATCTTGTTTCATCTGTTCTTTGGTTGATGGATGCTTGTTTTCTTTAATTACTCAAATATTATATTCTGCAGTGCTTCTACTTGTTCCATGATGACTTTGCATATGCTACTTTATATTTTTCGAGAGTTAACAAAAGTATATTTCAAGGCAGGGTGGACTTCATTTACTGTTTGTGGAAAGCTACGTCGTTTAGTCAAAGTGCAAAAGGTGTACATACAGAACATGCATCCCTCGAAAGATTTGCAATTTGAACATCACAGGCTATTTTATGTTGTTTACAGGTTGGTCACGCAGGCACGCTTGATCCTATGGCAACTGGTTTACTTATCGTTTGTGTTGGTAAAGCTACAAAGCTGGTAGAAAGGTACATCTATGATTACTGTAGTAAATTTGTTAAATTCAGTATCAGTAAGGGCAAAAATGTACTTGAATTACAATGTGTATATATATTTGCAGATATATTATTAGCAATTTCTTCATAAACAAGACAAATGAGAAGAGTTTTGGGCTAAGTTCAGTTCTGATTAGATTTGATATGTGATAAAGCTAGCAGTTTGTGAGATCTCTCAATGGGTTTGAACATGGAATGTGAAGTTTTGACGTCAAGTATGGGAAACTAATGCAGAAAAAATTGAAGTCACAAAGCTTAGTGACAGAATATGATTAGCACATGTATTATATTTATAACAATTCTTGGTACTAAAATTATGTTTACATATTTTACAATCTGAATTGTATTCAAGTTGTAGTAGATTTTATTTTATTTTTTATTTGATAACACTTGCAGAATTTAGTTATATGTTAAATTGATTCCCAAATGAAATTACTGGAATTAGGGTTTAATTGTTTATTTTATTTTATTGAAATTACTCATAGAATCAATTCATTGGATACTCAAACATGTAATAATAGGTTTAGTAGTATTATCAGGGATATTTTGTATTTTTAAAAAGAGATATTATTCAATTAAGTAGTTATAGTTAGTTGTGTGAATATAACTATATTTAGTTAGGTTTTTTGAAATTTGAAGCAATAATTTACACGTATGGATTACATAACTTCCCATAGGAATTTTAAATACATTAAATAATATATTTTATTTTTGCCAAACATGTGAATAGAGAAGTAGGAGGTATAATATTTGCTTTTAAGAGTAGTTATAGACTTGAACCGAAGGATTTGTTGCATAACATTGTGCAAAGAAGTAATTGGCTTGTTTGTAAAAGAAAATGATTAAAGAAAATGTTTACAAAGAAGTGACTTGCCACATTATCTACCTGTTAACATTATTTATAAGAGTTGATTCTTACGTTGAGAGTCTCCTACTACTAATCTAGTTGTTTGCTGCTGCTCTGACTGTCTATTATGGAACACAAAATTGAGAATTTTCTTGTAATTGCAATATGACTTTATTTGGGCTCGTCTTGCGCTTGAGTTATCTCTAGTTGCTCTATGAAAATTCATTCATCAAGTTATTTTGTTCTTATGTGTAACAAGCTTGTCATATATAGTATATATGTCACGCCTTGGGACCAAATACAACCTCCCGAGCACATTACTAGTCTGCAACATGCGTCAATAAGGTGTATGCAATTACCTTGCTATTGTACATCAATACACATCCCAATCCCTTACCGGATGCATCAATGAGAATAGCAAAACCTCCTTATCTTTCCGGTATGAATAGTATAGGGGCGGTGGTTAATCTCTTCTTTAGCTCTTGGAAAGACTGCTGACACTCCTTGGTCCACTCAAACTTCTCTTCCTTTCGAGCCAACATAGTCATCGGACCAACGATCCGAGAAAAATCCTTGACGAACCTCCCGTAATACCCAGCCAACCCTAAAAATCTGCGGTAATATCTAGCCAACCCTCCGCCATGTCCATAGATGGTGGTCATTGAACAACATCCTTGATCTTCTTCCCATCTACGACAATCCTTTTTGTTGATACGATGTGTCCCCAGAATGGCTACTTCACTCAGCCAGAATTCACACAACCCGAGCTTCGCATACAACCTCTCATGACCTTTAGCACTATCCTCAAGTGCTCATGCTCCTCTCTGTTCTTCGAATGTATCAATGTATCAGAATATCAGAATGTTATCAATGAAGACTACTACAAACATGTCCAAGTACTGGGCAAAGATCTCATTAATCAATGCAGTGGACACAAATGGGACATTAGTCACAATAAAAGGCATAACTAGGAACTCAAAATGACCATATTTGGTCCTGAACGGGTCTTCGGTGCATCCTCCTTTTTCACCTGAAGTTGATAATACCTTGATCTCAAATCTAACTTGGAATTCACCGTGGTTTCTGCCAACTAGTCAAACAACTCATCAATACGAGGATAAGGCACTTATTCTTAACATTCATCCTGTTCAGCTCTCTGTAATCCAGGCATATACATCCTAAATTATAATTCTTCCTCACAAGCAGGATTGGTGCTCTCAACGGTGAACAACTAGGAGGAATGAACCCTTTCTTCTAGTAACCATCTAGTTGCTCCTTGAACTCTAGCTCCTTCGAGGCCATCTTATAAACTGTGGGGGTAGATTGGGCAACTCCTTTGGAAAGACAACCATAAACTCCCTAACGACGGGCGGGACAGGTCTCTCCTCTACAGATCCTCTTACCTTTATCAAAGCTAGGATGTCGGTAGCTATTGCTCGATACTCTAGGGGATCTAGACTCTGACTACCTCCTAGAAACTCAAAAAGTGAATGCCGAAGCATATTAAAACTGACGATTCTGTAATAGTAGTCTATAGTTGCGTGGAACGTATAGGACTTGCTTAGTACATTCTATGCATAAGATGTTATCATATTGTGGGGAAATCTATCGCCAACAGATCTACTCTCAACTGCAAACTTCATAGAACTATCAGACATCACTTATACTCGATCAATGATCACTAATCTACTAACCGCCTTAATGGTCCAACCAAGCTCTAGAATGGTAATAAGCAACGAGATGCTTATAAGGGAAAGCTGATGATACGAAGTTATGAGACGACTCAAAACAGAATCAAAGGATACATAATTAATCGAATGGAATATGTAAATTGTCTGATATCTTCTCGGGATATCTTGGTGTATGTTCTAACAAATCTAGGCTCTAATACCGACTAAACCTTGCCATGCCTCGGGACCAAGTACCATCTCCCGAGCACGTGACAAAGATAGGCAACATATACAATTATGCTAAACTCCATCTAAAAGCATATATAAGCCCATATAAGATCAGAAAATACATCACAATATCCATCATCCAGACAATATTACAGGATATCACATGATCACAACAAATATAGCAGAAGCAAATATACGATACTGCAAAGATAAATAAGTCCCATGCATAATACTAAATGATAATTAAATATCGGCCGATAAACCGATATTATCGGTGATTTATTGCTTTTGGGGGCTTTCCGCTATGATAAGTTCGATTCTAAATTGGTTATAGTTTCTAGATGTTTATCGCCGATAATGTGGCGATAAAGTTATCGGCCGATATTGTCGGCCCAAAAACTGGAATTATCAGCCTTTGGTTTGAATTTTTATTTCAGGCAATGGACACCTATTCAATGCACTTTAAAACCGACCCGACCCGACCCGACCCGAGTTTCTACCATTGATTAGTGATCCTAAACATAATTATTTATATTATGGTATGTTTATATTTCATTAAGTATGGTTAGATTATATTTTAGAATATTATATTTTACATATCACCATCCGGTAATGTCACTTCGATAAATACTACTTATCCCTGATATATCCTCGATATCTGCTATCTGATACGGGTTTTGACCGTTCAATAAATCCCCAATAATCGATATTTAAAACCTTGGTTAAGTATCACAAATTTGATACAAAGATGTCCAACACGTAATACATAAGTCCAGAAGACACTCGGTTTTAATATCCACTACATTAGCAGAATAGAAAATATGTACATAAATGTAAATTACAAAATAGAAATGAACCTCTAAGACCTAAGACTAGGACTTGCTAGATGATACTCTGGTGAAACCATCATTCCTAAGGCTAGGACTCGCTAGATGTAGGTGTGCCTGCGCATGGTGAGGTAGAATTCACTACTGGTGTGCAAGACCAAGACGGTCAAAAACCTATCTAGCAAGTGTGCAAAATGAATGGATGGTATGCGCACGTGTAACATGGACCATGTACCATGGATGCATGGCTTGTGTGATCACAAGAAAAATGGTATAAGAGTAAAAGCTTGTAACACATCATGATCTAGTAAACATGCATGGTAGAAACAAAACTGAAGCCACAACTGACAGATGAACAACAAAAGATATGGCAACAGGATACAACAACATAAACTTTATTTGTGCCAAGTAAAAAAGCGGTCCAATTGAGAGAATCAGTAGTGGAGGTACTTTATTTGCCTTTTATTTTAAAAAAATAAAAAAAGGAAAGTTATTGTTCATCTCAAAGTTCTTTTCGACAAAGTTTTTAGATTATCGTCAATTCAAACTTTGTCTCTTTCATTGCACGTCAATTGGTATCAGAGCAATTTCATCGATTAATGAATTATCATGGGTGAATATCCGCTTTCTCCTTCACAACAATATGAATTTATTCCTTTTAAATTTGCAATGTATCTTATGTTTATGGATTGATGGATATGAAAAAAGCTAATTATTATGATATATTGGATTTGGCGATGTTTATATATGCTAAATTTAAATTGAAAGGCGAAGCCAAACATTGGTGGTATTCCTATTATTGTTTTCATGATTCATATGTATGTTCGTGGAAGTCTTTGAAATTTCTTTTAGAATATTCATATTGATCAATTGGGAGATCTTGTATCTTTTTAAAGCTTGAAGAGAAGTTAATACAAGTTTCCCGGAAGAAATTAGATGCGAGTTTACAAGCTGCACTTGAGTCAAAACCGAAGCCTGTCTTCAAGTCAGACTTAGAGCAATGTATTGACCACATCATACTGGCATTAAACCAGCTTAATTAAGAAAAAAATGCAAAAATTAGAGTCTAATTCTTTTAAAACAAGAATCGCAACAAGATCACAATTCGATCCCGTGCCCGAGCCAGAGTTAGAGCCTGAACCCGAGCCCAAGTCCGAGCCTGAAATCACGTCGTTGAGAGTTCGATCATGATACAGTTCAAGTCATTTCTAGTCCAAGGCAATTTTAAGATTGAGTTTGTTATGCGAAATCCCCCTCTACCGGCCTGCTATCAAGTGTTGCAGATACTGTCGAAGACCTCGAAGACTACACAATCAAAATTTGTTAAAGTTGCAGAATTTATCATCTTATCCTTCTTTAAAACTCTAGGTCGAGTTTTTCTCCAATAAGGGGAGAACTGATGTAGGACAAATTGAAGATCAAATCCAAATTTAGTTGAAGAGTCCTCCCACAGTGGGAAAAGTAATTAGTATGGATATGTTTGTTAGGATAATATTGATTAGGTTTTAATTTTGAATTAGAGAATTTTATTCTTTTTTTAAAAAAAAATTAGTAGAGGTATGATTATAAGCCCTATAAAACGGTTGTAGGTTTTATTTGTATTCAGAGAGTTTATGAGATTGAATAATAAAAATTAGATTAGGGAAATTGTGTAGTGATTCCTCAAAGGTGTGAAACTATGGTTTTTTCATTAGGCGTCCGTATGTATAACTGGCCTTCTTCCATCGTTTTTCGAGGTTAGATGCTGAGTGAATCTTGTCAACGTATTTATCCATTACCTTTCTTTATTTGGTCTTTTATGTTATGAAAAATTAAAAATAGAAAAGTTACTATTTAGATTATCGTCAATTCCAAGTTCACCCTTTCCGTTCCGCATCAGGGCATTAGCAGGATGGGGGTTTCATGGGAAATGGACCAAAGTTTGGGAGGTTTTGTGAAATTTATGCGTATCAATATCTGAACAGCTTTGAGAGAGAATTGGTTGCATATGAAGAGGCGGGATTCACTTGTTGATTAATGAATTGTTGAAATCTATAAGGGAAATGGTGAACAAATGTCTGGAGAAAATGTCATTGACTTAAACTATTGTATAAAGATAGTTGATTTGAACTTTTTACATGCCTGAAAAATACTTCAGTGAAGAAAATCACCTTATGTCAATGCTAGCGAGTCACAAATCTCCTCACAGGTAATAGGCTACATTTGAGATGGATCGAGAAGAAACTTTGAAAAAATAAATGTTTACTTTCGTCCAGTCTTTAAATCTTCTATTATTGAATTTGTGTAGAAAGTATTTGATTTCAAATCTTCCTGTAAAGAGAGAATTCAAACTGCTGGAAGCAAAACCTGGAGAGGACATGATTTCAAATCTTCCTGTAAAGAGAGAATTCAATAACTCAGATTTATGGAGTTTTTCTTGAAAAACATCAAGTTCATGGTTTACATAGAAAAACCAATATTGCATGGATCATCACCTTCTTAGTAAACTTATCTTTTAATTTTAAGGATTACATCTCAAAAGAATTGCTTAAAATTTAGATTACAACTTTGATCATCTCCACATCAACCACAACCTGGATCTCAATATGAAAGGTAGTATTACAGAAGATTTCTTCTGCTTTAATTGGTGATGTAAATGTCGTAATGTCTATAAACATAAATTCTTAAATAGGTACTTCTTTTTTTTGCAGATATCAAGGGATGATAAAAGGGTACAGTGGTATTTTTCGATTGGGAGAGGCTACATCAACTTGGGATGCTGATTCTCCGGTTTGTCCACTGTCCTTAATGAATAAGCAGTAACAGCTCATCATATTTAATTTCCAAACTAGAAGCTTTTCGTTATTATTTCATCCTGTTTCTAAGATAGAAGTTTGATTGCCTGTTTGCATTTCCATATAGTAAAATCCTATTCCTTGTCAAATGTGTAAATCATGTACCATATCATAAGAAATAGAAGACTGCTCTCCCCTGTTTATTATATTTTCTTACACGGCATGTTTTGTTCTGATCTTCATGATATTATGTGTACGTCTTGGATATTGTTGTAAATAGGGCTGCTTGAGTCCCTTCTGATCAAAAATTTTCCCTACTTTCGATAACCTTTGTTTTCAGGGAAAAACTTGGTGCTTAGCCCCTGAGGCTTGAGCCGCAACTTGCGGCTTTGCTCCCACTTCGGCTTTCCACAATATTAGGCTTTCCTCAATGGACAATTTAATTATTGAACATGTTGAGTCCTGATCTTTTAGTATTTCGGCTCACTGAAGAGGATCTCAATTGTCACTTGTGATACTTTTTAGGAATTTAGATTTTAATAATTGATTGTTTGCCTTCATAACTTTTCTTGGTATAGAAAGCATATCTACTTATTTTATATGTTAGTTTTTTTTCAATTAATTACCGAACTGGTGTGCATGCATGTGTTCGATAGGATCTTATATATGATGGATATCTTGCTTCCAGTAATGACTAGTAGTATGAATTCTGAGAGTTACTTTAACTAAGTTACAGAGATCATTGCTCGAGTTATATGGTTTAACAGTAATTGGTGTAACAACCGGCTAGTTCAATAGCACCAGGTTTTCACCTTTTCTCTTCATTATGAGTATCTCATAAGAAAGATGAAGTGATTCCAGAGAACCGTAGTTACTGTTGGGAATCTTAACTGTTTAGACAATAACGAAAATCAGTTTAAGCAATTTGATAATTAACAGATAATTTCATCAAGAGATAAGGAGTACTCTAAATCATCTTTTATTTCAATATCGGCAAGTTGCCAGTTACAACCTTCATCTGACGATTGTTCATCGTCCAGATTGATTACAAAGGGTACAATGTCATTTAAAACAAAATCACCATCGTAATCGAATCTGGCTTCAGAATCAGCTTCTTCTCCGCTGTCTGTGCCTTGGGCCGATGGTTCAGTGTCGGATTCGTTACCATAAAGGAGAGAATCGGTGAAATAATTCTCATACCCTTTGAATGGTTGCTTATCCGCGACCACCATCCTAACCTCATTGTCAGTGTCGACATACTTCAAACACTGATGGAGAGTAGAGGGAATTATAACATTACTATGGATCCAAGGCCGACCCAATAGTAAGTTGTACGAAGTCTCCGCATCGATCACATAACACGTGACTTCTGTCTTCAGATCTCCCATCTGGCACTTCACCCGGATCTTACCCAAGGGTCTTGACCCACTAGTGTTGAATCCATAAATAACAGTGCCTGTGGACGCCAACTTGCTTACTGGGATGCCGAGGAAATGCATCAATCGAAGCGGCATAATACTCACAGCAGAACCCGGATCCACTTGGATTCGGTTGACTTGGCTGGAGCCAATGTATCCGACGAAACGTGGTTCGAATTTTTCGTCTGCATATCTTCTTTGGTGAAAGTAATGCAGGGAAGGTTCTTAGTCGCTATATTGCATTGTTGACTCAGCGGTTCTGGATTTTCAGGCACCGGCTTGACTTGAGTCAGAAACACCTCGGAATTGGCCAAAGCTTCTTGCAGGGCCTCCCTGCTTTCCTTGGATAACCGCAGCAACTCATACAGCGTTATCCGTACTGGAATGTTGGCTAGTTGCGCCATAATATCGAAGCTGCGCGGAGCGTTCGAGCTTTCCGGTTTGTCTCTTCCAATCGGGCGGCTGAAACGAGACTGCTTCGGATTCTGCACCTCCTGGGGATTCTTCTCTTTTGGTTTATTCACCGGCTGTCGTAGAGCTTCTTTACCCGGTGTGGGACTCGTAATCACCCCCATCTCTGTGAGAGTTTTGGCTGGTCCCCGTTTGTTCACCCCCTGCTCACTAGGTGGCGGATAATTGTAGTGATATTCATTTCCGCTTCTAGTGGCGAAAGCTTCCTGTTCTTCTTCGGAGAGCGGGAAGGTAGGAGCTTCGTCGCCATCCTCTTCGAAGATTGCAGATGTAGCATTGTAGGACTTGCCTTTGCCTTTTCTTCTCGAGGAAGTCGTCCATTGTTCGTCTTTAATTAGATCAGGATGAACCCATAGGATTTCGCCGTTTGGTGCTGTGTGTGGCACAAGTCCTTTTTGGCGCTGTCCATGTGGGTCATCGTTCACTGTCTTCATCCCTACTTTGGTGATGCGCTCTGGTTTGAACCATGCTGTGGGCACCGATCCAAAGCTGATTGACACTGCGTTTGCTCCAACATTCTTGGACGGCTTCGGGGTTATGACGCCTACATCAATTAGCGCCTGGATCTTGTCCTTGAGGTGATAGCAAGACTTCGTAGGGTGATGGACCGCTCTATGGTATGCGCAATACTTCGGATCCGTCACATTGTTTGCTCCTTCTTGATCCACGATCGCCGGCAGCTGGATTTTGTTGTTCTCCAACAGGTATTTGAAGATGCCGGGAACTTCGTCATCCTTGAAGGAGTACACTTTAGGAAACCTCGGATCCACAGATTTTTGCTTCTGAGGCCGTTGTTGCCATTGCCCTCGAGATTGTTGTGGTGCTTGTTGCTGTGGCTGTTGCTGAGGTTGCAATTGGAAAGTTTGATTAGCATCAACTGCATTAGCATGTGCCTTACCTTTCCCCCGCGGGACGAAATTCTGCTTTGGAGCATTCGTCGCCTGTTGGCCTCGTTCCGCTTTCTTCCTCTTGAGGAATCGCCCGGCTTGCTCTCCTCGGACCTTCAAGTCCTTCCATGTCTTGGACGGTGCTGTCCCCATTGCTTCCAACACGTCCAGTGCAAGGTTGTTGTGGCAAGTCTGGAGGATGAATTCCTCGGTGATCGGGTCCTGACAATTCATCGCCTTGTTCCAGAACCTTTTGACGAAGGTGTCCACCAATTCCCCGTCCTTTTGTTTCTCGTCGAGCAACGTTCCGATGGATATCTCGGTGTCATCATCGAAGAAGTTAGCGAGGAATTTTGTCTCCATGTCGTCCCAGCTATTTACGCTTCCTGGCTTGAGGCGGCGATACCAATCGAAGGCGGCTCCGCGAAGAGTGCCAACGAAGGACCGCACCATCAGAGGCTCCTTACCAGAGATAACTCCCAAGTGCGATTTGAAGTAAATCAAATGCTGGGTAGGTGAACCCATCCCATTAAACGGCGTGAAGTTAATTAGACTGAACTTCGCCGGATATGGGATTGATTCCCACTCTCTTGGGTATGGACAAGGAATGCCTGTTTTCTTCGTCTCTTGAGCGGAAATCAATGTATTGATTTTGCTCTCGAGATTTTTAATCTTCAAGTTTTCACCTGTGTTTTCACTAGCATTCTCATTACCACCCCCTGCATTGACAGGAGGATTATTGGCATTATGAGTCTCATTCGCATTTGTGTCCTCATCTTCCAGATTAACCGGGTTACGACGACTTGGCTCGCCTTGCTGGTTCGTCAATGCTTGGATTTGTTGGTCATGCATTTCCCTCATGTTCTGCATGGCCATCTGCATTTCGAACCTGAAGCTCTCCTGTTGTTTAGCCATGGCTTCTTCGAGCATCTTGGCCACTTGTTCCGCGCTTATCATAAATGACTCGCGGGGTTGTCCCTCGCTGGATACCGTATTATCTGATGCAACCGCGGAGCCGGCATCAGATTCTTCATCTTCTGAAGGGCGTCTTGTCCGATCCTTACCATAGGTTGCTCGCTTGATGGTTCCAGACTGCAGACGGGTTCTAGGCCGGGAGGCTCTTAGAATCGACTCGAAATCATCCCGTGCCGATGTCCCCTTGCTGGTCATGTTGGTGGTAACCCTCGGAAATTCTTCGTCTTCAATCATCCTTCTTCTTCATTGAAAACGCCTAGGCCTGGGTTTTGGCGGCTCCGCACTGAGTCTTTCAAAAACTGAAACTCTTTCGGGGACCGCCTTGATGCAGTTGCATTCAGACAATACCGCCCGAATGAGTTTGGAACAGGGACATTGAATTTCCCGTTCTCGGGGACTCCTCTTCCTGGTTCTATTCGTACCCCCAGCACGATAGTACAACTCGTCATTTTGACAGTCGGAGTAACCTATCGTGTGCAGGCACGACTTCTCAGGTATAACACTATCACTATCAGATGATAATGTTTCCATCTGAGGTTGGATCGCCTTCTTTGGGCTTTCAAAAGTTACACGCCTCGAAACGTGCCTTTGTGGGCGCGAGTCTTCAGTGTGCTCTTGGACTTCGATGCGCAAGTTGGTGAGCGCAGCTGCCTTGAGTTCTTTGTTATACTGGAGGTGACGGCGACCCCCAGCGTGTGGATTCGTTCGGGGCTTTCTTAGTGGGCCCAAACGTTCTTGGATCGGAGCTTTGCTTCGCTCCTCGGGAAGTGGACCGATGCGCTCCAAGACTGACTTTCTCCTTCGGGAGGATTCTGC